CACACACACACACACACACACACACACACACACACACACACACACACGCTTAAGCCCAGCTTGTTCTGTGTGTTCTGTGTTCTACTGTCAAACATCTAGGAAAACTAGGCAAACCATGGTGGGTGAGTTCTCTGAAGACATTTCATTGCATCTAGTCTTGGGACCATCACAGGGTGACTCTCCACCCCACCCGCATTCAGAGGGTGTCTAGGGGCTCATTTGGAACAGGAGCTGAGCAGGGGACACCCCTGTGCCATCTGTGAACTGTGTGCTTGACCTAAGAGACACTTCACCTGCCACATTCAAATGTGTACCAGGAGCTCGTAATGCACAAGCAGCTGCGGCCTCCCCGGGTACTTCTGTGCACTTTGGGTCTACCTTTTTCCCCACAGTTGTCTTGGTTACATCAAAACTGTAAGCATGGGGCTAGAGAGATGCCTCCGCAGTTAAAGAGCAGTGACTGCTCTCCCACGGTATCTGGGTTAGGTTCCCAGCATCTGCTTGGTGGCTTGCTGTCATTTATAACTCCAGTCCCAGATGCTCCAGTGCTCTCTTCTGGCCTCTGTGGGCACTGCCTGCAACGTGGTGCACAGATACACGTGCAGGCAAACATACTCATATGTGTAAAATTAAAATAATCTTTAAAAAATACTGTAGGCATAAAGAGGCAGACTTTACAAAGACCATCTCCTACTTCGAGAGTCAGGTACCCCTGAAGCGCTGTTGTGTGGGTAGGGAACCGAAAGAAATATGAAGCACATATAGTCAGCTGATGTCCTGGCTGACTCCATTTGCCTGGAAGCCTAGAGGCTAGGTGAAGTGAGAGGGTAGCCATGGGGAACGTGTCTGGATCCCAGACTAGAAACCCAGCATCCTGACTCACATGTCAGTGCAGAGCGGTTGGGAGAGCTCAGCAGGTAGACAACCACGGAGGTGAGACCAGCAGGTAGCTGAGAGGCTCTCGCTGCTGTTCATAAAGGACCCTGGAAGTGACTGAGGACCTCTGATGAAGGGCCTACAGAAAAAGCACGGGCTTCTGTTATCAGAAGCTGGCAGGAGAATGCGGCTTTGCTTGGGCCTGAGGTGGACAGGACGGGACGGCAGGGATGTACAGGGGATGTCTGTTTTATACTTCTCAGGGCTACATGTTTGAACTGCACACTGGGGTGCTGGTTCTCAGTCCATGCCGTGCAAGACAAACAAAAGGGAGTCAGGGAAGGTGCCAGCGTTGGGCCCCACAGTCTGCGGGTTGGTATTTGTGCAAAGTGTCGCTTGCATGTAATCCTGGTATGCATACTCAATGTGAGGACTCCTCTTTGCAAAAACCAACATGGGAGCTGCCTGAGAGGGCTTTCCTGGGTGCTGATATCTGGCTCTATCTCCCCAAGTTCTGAACTAAGAGGCCTGAAAGTACTAGCAGGGTTCTTAATCTTTTCATATTCCTAAGGTGTCCCTCAGTATCGCTTGCCATGGTAGAGTTTCCCTGAGAAACACCTCCAAGGAGGGAGAGTGCCATAGCTTTGCATGGAAGACAAGCTAGACCCCATAAGGTATTTGGAGAGTCTGAAATAGAGACTGGGCACCCCATGCTTCTCGGTGCTCCACTGGACATGGGATCCTATCTTTGGATCTTGCCTGTGAGGTTTTAGGGCGTCATCTTTATTCTCAACTCACATCAAGTGTTACACTAAGCCACTAGAAGGAGCCAGAGACGTGTGTGTGTGTGTGTGTGTGTGTGTGTGTGTGCGCGCGCGCGCGCACACGTGCGCACCTATCTAGAAATGTGCCTTTGCATGAATGCATGCATGAATGATCACCATGAACACCCTTGCTTGCCCTGGAACCCGAGTCAAGAAGTAAGGTTCACACCCCTTCCTTTACTCACTAATCTCGGGAAAGACATCACACATGCACAGTGCCACACACACAGCTAAGACAACATCTCTAAACTTCAGAAGAGGCCTTGGCTTGCCCCAATCCCAGGAAAGAGAAAGCACTGCTAGAAACCAGAACGGTCCACTTAAGTGCTAGAGTCTCACTGGGCCCAAGACAAAAGAGCTTCCTCTTGGATTTCCTTTTCTTTTTGGCTTTCTGTTATTACCTTTAAGTGTGCGTGTGTGAGTATATGTCCGCACACGCATGTGAGTGCAGTACCCTAGGAGGCCAGAGGCCTAGAATCCCCTGAAAATGGAATTCCAGGCTGGGTGAGCTGTCATGGGGGTACTGGGAATCGAAAACCCAGGTCCTCTGAAATAGCAGCAATAACCACTTGGCCATCTCTCTAACCCCTTCCTCTGGGATGCTCATGGGTTGTCTTGGCTGTACAAATTCAGAAAGCTCTCTGCCTGCCCGCCCTTGCCCCCTTACGGTATTGTCTATCTCTATCATCTGACTGAGTCCTAAAGAGCTTTTGCTTTGGTGGGCACTTCCTGCCTCCCCACCGAGTAAGTACTTCAGAGTGAAGATGACAAAAACCTTATAGAAAAAAGAAAGCCTCTTG